GCATCAAAATGCAAGTTCGCAACTAAAGAACTTAAATATCTGGGTTATAAAATTTCGCAAAAGGGTATAGAAACTCAGGATTCAAAAATAAAAGCCATCAAGAATTTCCCACCTCCCAACCGCACAAGAAACTTTCTTCTTTCCTTGGGTTATGTTCTTATTATCGGTCGTTCATAAAAGATTTTGCAAATATTGTTGAACCCTTGTTAGTAATTAAAAGAAAGAAAAGTAAATTCACGTGGACAGCAGAAGCAAATACTGCATTTGAAAGGTTAAAAGAAGCGCTCATCAATGCCCCTGTTTTGAAATTCCCGGAAGGGGACGAAAACCTGGAAATTGCAGCAGATGCGTCGGACTATGCCGTAGGTGCTGGTTCTCATGCAGAAATGGCCATCCTTTGGCATTTTTTAGTAAAACTTTGAACCCTACACAAAGGAATTATACAGCTACAGAGAGAGAAACATTAGCCGTATTAATGGCTGTACACAAATTTCGAGTTTATTTCGGCAAAGCGCCAGTAACAGTCTTTTCGGATCACATGCGGCTGTTGGTAGACTTTACTCGGGGAAAAACCTAACGCCCAGGTTAATAAGATGGGCTTTAAAACTTCAAGAGTATAACCTCATAATTAAATATAAACCGGGTAAGGAAAACAATGTAGCTGACGCACTATCTCGTATAAAACTGGACGATGAAGGCAATGAACTCAAATGCGCTGTGTTGACTTCAAAAATTTTAGATTCTAGAGAAACAATTATTGCTGAATTAAAAGCTGATCCGGAATTTGGAAGTATCTATGCGTATTTGAAAGACCCCGAAAGCTTCGAGCACACAGATATCGATGCGATAAGAAATAGAGCAGAAAACTATGAAATAATAGATAATTTATTATTTTATACGAAAACAACAAACGAAAATTTAGAGTATAAACCAGTCATCCCAGCCTCGCTCCGATTAAGCATTTTGAAGGAATTACACGACGCGAAAACAGCGGGTCATTTAGGGGTCAGAAAGACTTTAAAAAGGGTACGCGAGGCGGTATATTTCCCGCAATTATACAAAATAGTAACTGCGTATGTCAGGTCCTGCAATCAATGTCAGTTAATAAATGATATTAATTACAGCCCGGCCGGGTACTTAAATAGCATTCACTTTACATTTCCGAATGAAATTTTAGGCATAGATCTTCTTGGTCCTTTCCCCCAGAGTGAGTTAAATAAAAATCGTTTTCTTTTAGTAATTGTAGATCATTTTTCAAAATGGACAGAAATTGTCACACTTAAACGCGCGTCAGCCAAAACAGTCGCAGATGCATTCTTACACAGATACATTTTAAAATACGGTGCACCGATAAAAGTCATTAGCGATAACGGTAAACAATTCGTTAGCCAAATATTTGAAAACATTTGCACTGGACTTGGCATACGCCATATCAAAATGGTTCCGTATAGACCACAGGCAAACATCGCAGAAAGAGTTAATAAAAATATTGTAAAAATAATTCGAAGTTATGTTAGCACACATCACAAGCGCTGGGATGGCTACATAAATGAGTTAGCTTATGCTTTAAGAACAGCAAATCACGATACTACGGGGAAAACTCCAGCAGAATTATTTTTAGGACGGAAGTTAATTACGCCATTAGATAAATTATTCTTTGTGCAACAAAGAGAGCAAGAGTTCAAACAAAAAGATGTACAAAAACTTATTGATCAGGCGGTTAAAAGCTCGGATACGGCAAGAAATAGACAGAAATTCTACTATGATAGAAAACGCCGTGAAGCAGATTTTAAAGTTGGGGATAAAGTGTTGAAGCGGAAATTTTCTTTATCAAGTGCCCCAGACAATTTTACTGCAAAGTTAGCTTCAAAATTTGAAGGCCCATATGTAATTCAGGAAATCAAGAGAGTCGTATTGTACCTTAAGAACGAGAGAGGGGAAATCTGTAAAGCAAGTCCCGACCAGGTGAAAAAATATTATAATCAAAATGATTTTGAAATCCTTAAAAGTTTCTTGCAGGACTCAAGCGCAAAAGAAGTGGAAGGTCCAGAAGTAACGTCACCCGCTCCACCACCCAAGAAGCAGAGAACAGAAGAGGAACCTAGCCCTTCTACAAGTCATGCTACGGTCCCGAAAAGAAGAAAGGAAAATGTTCAGACACTCCAGCATTTAAGAAATACAAGAAAGCAAAGCCGCCGTGTAAAGAATCTTTGGTAAAGAGGAAAAGACCAGTTACAACGCACCACAGTAGAAATTCTGCGTCGAGAAAACCACTTCCAGGGCCAGATAGTCAGGAGCAAACAAGGCCGCCGTTCACGAGAACAAAAAGACAGCAGGAGGAACGAAAAGACCACCACCAACAGAAGAAATTCAAGCACGATTCCAGACCGGAGGCCGCCAAGACCAGCCGTCCAGGGGCAAAACGGAAAAGACAGGAACCCGACGACTACCACTCCAAGAGGCCGGCGCACAGAGGGCGAAAAAGAAAAATTAACATGGACGAAACTCGAAGAACACAAAGGAGACGACTGACTTCGATGAATTCCATAACGTGGGAGCAGTTCTGCCAGAAGAGGATGTCGGAGTTCCAATCATCGAAAACTCAAAGATAAGTTAAAATCTTCTATAAAATTTTTCTTTTGTTCCGAAATGTTATGCGTAAATACGAAGTTCTATGTTTTGACGGAAGTCAATTTGTCTCGGTTGAGACTTAGTTTTGTTTTACTTTATTTAGCTAAGGCAAAAGTATTATTTTCTTTAAGTATAAAATCTAAGAACAAGCAGTTCCTGTTGGTCGAAAGACTAATTCTGTTATGTTAAAGCCAAAATTTGGCCGAAAGTAAAATAACTTCGTATTCTTGTATTAATGAGAAATTTAGTTTCAGTGCCGCCAGCTTGGCGAAGAATGCGTGAAGTAAAAATTTATTTTTCTCTTATTCATTTTATGGTAAATTGTAAAAATCATATGTATTAGAATTTTGTAAATATACGTAAATACTTGAAAGTTATGTAAAAGTAGAATTTAGTCTAGAAGCATAAAATTTTAGATGCTAAAAGTAAATGCTCAAAAGAAATGAATTCAAATTTAAGTATTAAACTGTAGATAAAATCATGCTTTAGAGCGAAAGCCTGCATGTCTAAAGATGAATGAGGGGGAATTAGAATGAATGTGTTTTGTAGGGTTCTCCACCTACACTTGAATTTTAAGAATGTTAAACATAGCTCATCGAGTTTCAGAATGTCGATTAAGGTGTGTCTATTTGGTCGCTGAATTCTAACAAATCATTGTGGTTAGGGGAAGTGTTGCAATACTAAAACACGAATATTCCCGTTTGACACCACACATGGTGGAGAGCCAGGGTAAAGTTAAATTCATGTTTGAATACTTGAATGAATGTGAATTAAGCAGTTACTTAAGGAAAATAAAACGAATAAAAAAAAACTTTATTCAGAGTCAAGAAAGTGTAAATTATAATGTATTTAGAAAGATACTGATACTTATTCCTTCCAGATGCTGGAAGGAAGAGAACAAGATTGATTGCTGAAGTCCAGGAAAGGTTGCCTGTAAGAAGAGAGGGTAAAATATTATCTACAGAAATTTATTCTAATTTTGAGAAAACAGTTTTTTTATGTAAACGAGGCTCTTGAGTTTTAGATTCAGAATATGGAAACTTTTCAACAGGTCGTTTCTAGGACCTGCTTCCAAGTTTACCAAATTCTGGCAGCGGCAAATGTAGGGTTTATATTTATTTTAACTAACATTTATTTTAAGTTTAAGCTATCTTTCCTGTCAAGCCTTACTTTCCCCTGGAATTGCCAATGCCAGAGTATGTAAATTTTAGTAGAACGCGCAAAGTATTCAAATCTTTAGCAGAAGTAATTTTGAGTTAAATAGAAGGGAAACGAGTTCGAAAGTGTGCTGTCTTGCTTCACGAGCTGGAAGGTGGCTAGTTAGAAATTGAAGAACCACGCGTTTCGGCCTGTGTGCTTGCCTCGGCAGATTCGTTAAATCTTTCAACGTAATATTCAGAAGTTTGCTGAATTATCAGCGGTATCTTAGAACGCGGTTAGGTTAGTTACGTTTAGAGAGCCTCGTAGTAGTACTTGTTATTATTCATTTTTAGTTTCTTATTTTTATTTACCGCCGGGTCGGTGTAGTTTGTGAGCGTCAAGTGCATGCATCTGTAACTTCTAAAGTGGAATAAAAAGGGAAAAAGGGAGTTAAACCCTTCTTAAGAGTTTGTGTACTTTCCAGTTCATAGCAGTCACTACTATTGTTGCGTGCAGGTTGGGGCCGCGTAACACCACATATTTCTAATTGAATTTGCCCCAGGTTTTATGAATATTCGTGCCATTTTACATAAGATAAAAGACAGTGAGAGATGGCTTCAACGTCTACTCAGCAGAAAAAGAGAAAAAATGAGGTTGTGAATTGGAAAGACAAGAAGGATATACGTTTGATGAGTACAGTCCATAATAACTCGATGATTGATGTTGGAAAACGAAAAGAACTCTGTAAAAAAAAAAAAAAAAAAAAAAACAATAATTGTAAAACATTACAACAACAAAATGGGAGGAGTGGACCGCCTGGATCAGATGTTATCAAATTATCCTGCTGTTAGAAATAAGTTAAGAGATATTATTATTTTTCCATTATGCTTTATTTCCTTATAATTTTACTTAATATTCATTGACATTCATCCACTACAAAAGTCATGTATGGAAAGTTATGATGTACAGAGAAAACAACATTACACGCTACAAAAAACAGACAGCCGCTGGGGGGGGGGAATTTTCGCCGACAGGAGAGGACGGTGAAAGGGTTAAAATCATATTCAGAACTGCAATAACATTTATATTCTAAATGTAATAATTTTATTTTAAATTTTACCTATTACTGTTTATTAATTATCAATTACTATTGTTACTACAGTTTTTTACTGCTGTTTATATATAGCCACAAAAATTATACAAATCAAACAATGTGAAAATGTATTTACCTGGTTATTTAGGAGTTCCCCTGCATTTTCATCCATTTCTTGTGAAGTTCTTTTAGTTTTCCCGCATTTATAGTCCTGTAAAAAATTCCAGCATGACATAAAACCAAAAATTCCTTTGCAAATCAAATTTAAAAACATTTTTAAAGAATAAATTCATGTAATAGCACTTCTCAAGCAAGATCTAATATTCAATATGACATAAAAATCCCTTCCTGGAAATACGTGATGCCACTGGTTGTGTCTAACTCCCTAAGCAGCATAACTGCCTTTATCCAGTCATGACATTTTTGTCACTTAACCTTTCTGGGACTGATCTCTCTTGAGTGCATTTGCCGCCAACTATATCACAGAGCCGTATGTGTCACATACGAATCACCGCTTAAATGGACTGTTAGGATAGGTGTACCACATACGAATAACCGCTTAAATGAACTGTTAGGATAGGTGTACCACATACGAATATTTAGACAGATGTTTAATTTGTATCTTTTTTTAACATTAGATGTAGCCCTATATTTAGACAGATGTTTAATTTTTATCTTTTTTTAACATTAGATGTAGCCCTATACCTGTTACAGTGGAATTCACAGACTGCAGAATGATGACCTTCATTCCATAGCAGTATTTTTTATTTTTGGGATTTCATTTTGGAATTAAAGCAGAAAGTGCAAGTTGAATAATGTAAATAAAACAGAGCTGACTATTTACTGTATTAGATAATATAAATACATGGGGATGTTCTTGATGCTTCTGATTGGTGATATAAATATACATGTCCTATCGTTTTAGAGGTTTTATTCATTCTTCTTAGAGTCTGGCTAGTCTTGAGGCAAATGTCTTGTTATCATCTAGCAAAACATTTTCATACTTCAAAAGGCAAAAAAAAAAAAAAAATATTATGAAAAATTCTTCATATTAATTATGATAACTGTTCCTCTCATAATGTGCCAAAAATTGGAACAATTGGACCACAAATTTAATTTATGTGGATTTTTCACCAAAGTTAGGCAAGCTCAGCAGTCCAAACTTCCCCACTGCAACAAGACAATGCATCCCAAGATAGCAGTTTGTTGACTGATATGCCCATCACTAAAGAGTTTATATATATTAGATTATAAGTGAAAATATTTTGCTTTCTTACTTTCTTTCATAATGCAGATATCATCTTAATGAATGGAAGTATATAAAAACAGAAATTGAAATTAGTAATTGTTGGAAAATATGACTTATTGTAACCCTTTTACTGCATCATCTCTCCTCCTTGAAATGTTTATTTAGTTTAGTCCTTATTTTAATGTAATATAGTAGTTACTTCTACTTCTTTTTCTTGCTGCCACTGTTTGCATTGAGAACGGACTGTTTCAACCTAAGTGAGATGCAAAAACGAACATCTTCAAAACGAACATGATGTTACGTCATCTGGAAAGTCGAATCGTGCCGATAGCTGACTGGTTGCCGTGAGATGACGTCATGCCTACTTCTGGTATAAGTACCTCACGTCGCTCTGGCTCAGCCCTTCTAGTTCCTGCTTTCCTGGCACTTAGGTGTGCGGTTTCCAGCCCCTTCAAAAGGATGCGTGCAGTCCGGTGAATAAGATCCTTGGTTCCTGTATACAAGATGATTGTTCCAGAATAAGTTCCTTGGTTCCTGTATACAAGATGATTGTTCCAAATAAGTTCCTTGGTTCCTGTCTACAAGAGATGTTCCAGAATAAGTTCCTTGTTCCTGTATACAAGATGGTTCCTTGGTTCCTGTCCACAAGATGATTGTTGAATAAGTTCCTTGGTTCCAGAGGCTACCATGTGAGTGACTGCCGTGGGCGGCATCCATGTTCTTCAATGAAGGCGGCATTTAAAATACGTTAGAGCGGCGATTCCTCGTGTTCAACTAATGCAAACGGAGTTAGGCCGGTTTTAAGTGCTTTCAAGAACTTGATTTAAATTTTCAGGTGTTTTCTTGACCATTGATCATGGACTTATTGAATGTGTAGCCAATTTCATTTTTAGGCCGCATAATTACTGTTTAGGACATTTTTGTTTGTATTGAATGCCAGTGTTTTTGGAGACCAGGTAAAAATATTATTTGATGAATGATGGTTATATTATATTTTTCCTAAGACTCTGATATTGTTTAAATTTATTTTCTGTGTTTTTATTCTTTATTATATTGTTAATAAATTGGTTAAGTTCAAAACCTTTTATTGTCTTCAATGTCTGCACAACATATATTCCAGGGAGCTTTTATTGCTAAAAGTGTTTAATTTTATAAACTTTAAACTTTGCTTTAGCATCATTTTGGTTATGGGCCCAGCCCCTGAGTTATTTTTAGTGCAGACTTTTGAAGTTTAAAGTTAATTTAGGACTTAAGAGATTGGGGGGCGGTTTTTGTTAAAATTCAAATATGGCTACTGTTAGTGTCATGCATAATATTGCTAAACTTGATGCATGTAATTATTTTACATGGTCCAAAGATATGAAGTTTGTCTTGAAATGAAAAAAATGCATGGCTTTTGGTCAAAGGTATTGAAAAATGTCCTGATTTAAATGATGTTAAGGGTATTACAAAAGAAATTATTGCCGACTATCAAAATAGAAGTCGATTGGCATTATCTTTAATTTATATGAATGTAAGCCCTGAATATAGAAACTTGATATGTGAAATTGATGACCCGGTAGTGGCATGGAATACGCTTGCCAAATACTTTCCAGCCAGATTATCGGTCAAGACATATGTCCCTGTTTTCAGAGTTCTTAAATTGTAAAATTAAGCCAAATGAAAGTATTAGTTTCTTTTCTTCTAGATTAAAACGCGTAACTGAACAGTTAGCTGATATTAATCAGGCTGTAAGAGACGTATATATATGTTTCCAGTTTCTTAGGTTCCTTCCAGATAAATTTGATCAAGTAGTTCAGAATGTTTTGAGGTGGCCAGATGAAAAGTTCATTTTTAAAAATGTTGAACTTGAAATACTAGCAGAGGAAACGCGTCTTAATTTAAGAGAGATAGATAGGGAAAATTCCAATAAGACTATAGAAGTCCAAAGTACTCACTGTGAACCCAAATTTAAGCAGATTAAAGGGCTCAAGTGTTATAAATGTGGCCGTCCAGGTCATATTCAAAAATACTGTAGAATGAAAGGTAATTTTTCCAGATCACCCTCACCTGCTTCTTCTGTTTCCTCAGCTGTATCTAGTAGTAATAAAACATCTCCTAAGTGTAAGAATAAACCCAAGTTGAGTAAAGGTAAAAATAATTCCCATGCTCAGTCCCATTTTATAGCTCAAGCTAATGTTAACAATTTGGAGGAAAATGATGATAGTTGGATTTTTGATACTGCTGCATCTCATCATTTTTGTAAAAATCGTGAATTGTTTGATACTTTTTCTCCTGTGAAAAATGAGAATATGCTAGTAGCTATTGATGGGGTAACTTTTCCAATTCATGGGAAGGGTACTGTTAAAATGAAATTTGGGGATACGGTTATTTTGCTTAAAGATGTTTTATACTCACCTGAACTGAGACGAAATTTAATATCTGGACCTAGGGTGGATATCAATGGAGCAAGATTTTATGGTAAAAATGGGCAAATTAAAGTTACTGATGATGAAAATGAAACTTTGTACAAAGCTAAGTTGATAGGAAGTAACTATCATGTATTCCCGAAAATAGTCAAAAAGGAGGGCAAATCTGTAAAATTTGAGGCATCCACAGTTCAGCATAACAATAGTGAATTATGGCATGGTCGGTTTGGTCATATAAATTATATAAATTATGGTGCTATTGTCAGGACTAGTAAAAGACATTCAGTTCGAGGTCTTCCTGTGTTAAAGCACTCACCTAATTTGTTTTGTGAACATTGCCAAATTAATAAGCAAAGACGAATCTCCTATAGACCCTTAGAAGGTATTCAAGTAAAGAGGCCGCTTGAAAGGGTTTTTTTTCTGATGTATGGGGACCTATTAACATTCCAGGTAGGAATAGGTGAACGTTATTTCGTTTCCTTTATTGACGAATATTCTCGTTATGTGGTAGTGTACCCCATTGTGGAGAAAAGTCAGGTGTTTGAAGTATTTGAAAGGCATATAGCACGTGCGGAAAGATCTTTGAACCTTAAGTTGAAATACTTTAGGACTGACAATGGGCGAGAATATGATAATGATCAATTCAGGTCATATTGTAATAAAAATGGTGTAAAGCACGAATTTACAGATGTATATACTCCAGAACAGAATGGAGTTTGTGAGAGATTTAATCAGACAGCTCTCAACAATGTACGTGCAATCTTACATGATAGTGGAATGAGTTCCGAATTTTGGTCAGATGCAGTAATGTATTTTGCATATTCATTTAATAGAATTTGTCATAAGGGCCAAGATAGAACCCCATTCGAATTGTACACTAAGCGGAAACCATCAGTACGTCACCTTAAGGCATTTGGAACGATTGCCTATGTGGGAATTCCAAAGGCTAAAAGAAATTCTAAGCTTGATCCAAAGGCAACGAAAGGGCCGATTGATTGGGTACAGTGTACGAACAAAAGGGTACAAGATTTGGTTGGAAAATGAGCAAAAGGTAGTAGAAACCCTAAATGCTACTTTTAAAGAGTCAATTGGAATGCAGAAAAGTGGCAGTGGAGCTGCACTGGGCACCCTTCCTGATTTGGAATCTGAAGAAAGGGTAGAGTTCCAATCTACTGATACTCCAGTTGGCTATTTTCCTGAAATAGAGGAAAGAACCGATACCAATGTGTACCTTCTTCTACAATTGGCACTGACACTCAATCTACATTGAGACAAGTAACTTGGCTTCGTAAACCTGTTCCAAGGCCAGACGGCACTCGTACGGATGTGTATTATTTTGAGAGGGGGTCTAATCAAAGACTACGATCACCAAATGATGTAGAAAGGTATTGCACTGAACATAATATTCAGTATGATCCTACCTTGTTTGATTTCAAGGGAAGCAATACTTATAGTGGTGAAATCGACCCAACTGGTACTCCTTCAACGTCATATACCCGAGATAGCTGACTAGAGGTTTCAATTCCAAACACTTATAACCAGGCAATGAAATCC